AAAAAAAAAAAAAAAAAAAAAAAAAAAAAAAAAGAAGAACGAAAGGTTGTTATCAAAAATTTGTCATTTTTTTATCTTCTATATTATGTCTAATAGTTAAGGAGCGGAAGAAGAGGTGGAGGTTGCGGATAGGCATAAATATTGCCTCGTAAGTGCACTTAGCCTATAAGTAATATTCCATCTTTTTGATTATTAAAAAAACTTTTTTCTTTATTATGCTTTGACTTTTTTTATATTTCAGTTGTTTTAAATGATCAAAATGGATTTCCTTCTTCGTTGCTGTCTTTTTGGGCTGATTATTTGAGTACAATTTGAACTGGCATCTGACAAAAAAAACAAGAAAAAAAAAGAATGGAAATTTTTGGCAATTAAATAACCTCTTCAAAAAATATATGTTCAAAAAATGGTGGTTTTTTTTTTGGTGGTCTTCCATGGATCAGATAAGTGATCAGAATTGCATACCGAATCAATGCCATTTCCACTTTTTCTTCTTGTCTATTTTGGAGAGCCTTTGATGGAATAAATGTACCCCGCCTGTTCATTTCCCACAATGTTTATCAAACTTTGTCAGAATCCTTTAGTTACTGCTTAATAAGTTAGCGAAAATTTTTTCAATAAAATCTAAAAAGCAAAAAAATGAAAAATAAAGTAGACAAGGAAATGACGTTTATTATGACTGTTGGTTCACCCTTTTTTTTTTTCCAAAAATTGTATTTGCCAATTATGTTAAGGTTTTTTAGCTAAAAAAGAAAAAGATTTGATCTCACAGTTTTGGTGAAGCACAATTTGGCTGTCTGCAATTCTAAATATATACATATATTTATATGTATATTTTTTTGCCTTAATATCATTAGTTGGTTATCTTTTTTCTCTGAAAATTTCTTCTTTTAGAAAATTTTTATTTTTACCAATAACGGTATTCTTATTCACCGCTTCCTTATGGTTTTTTTTTGCTTAAAATTTTTATTCCTCTTTGAAATTCTTAAGCACTGAAAGCCGTCGAAGGTTTTGAAAGAGAAGTCAAACAAGAAAAAACCTAATCTTTTGCATGTTTTTTTCTTCCATTTATGCGTGGTGTTTTGTTATTCTTTAGAAAAAGAAAGTTTTTTTTTAGATGTGGTAACTAAAAAATTTTATTTCGGTTCAGTGAAAAGGCGATATTTGTGTGGGTGGAAAGAAAGAAAAGCGGAGTGGGGGGGGAGGGGGGAGGAGGGAGAAGGAGGAAAGAGATAAGAGATATCAGTATTCTTTGTTTTGATTCTTTTTTCTCTCCAGTTGGATTTATTTTGCAAAAAAGCTTTTTTTCTGTGTCATTCCTCTTTTGTTTGTTTGTTTTTTCTTCTGTTTTTAAAGTTAAACTAATTTTCCAGTTTTATTTATTTATTTATTTATTTATTTTTTTTTTTGAAGCATATGTAAACGACATGAAAACAGCTGTTTTTTTTCGAGGATTTTCTTTTTTTTTTTAAATTTTTTTTTTTTGTTGCAGAATCAAAAAGACGATTCGGTTCCTCATCACCGTATATGTCTATGGATTATGATGCAAATAATGAGGAAAAAACAAAATTTTTTTGTGATGAACGATCCGGCAGATATCACTGTTGTTGTGGATTACTTCATGTTGTTGTAAGTCAGCCTATTATTCTGTTGTATTCCACTTAGCTTTCAACAAATAGCTATTTTTTTTTGTCCAGATGATTAGGCAGGCTTATTTTCTGAGAACTTTGTATGCCTATTTGTTGTGCATACCAAATTTAGAGTCAAAAACTGACTTTTTTCTTTTCCATTTATTTTGTTCATCGAAATGAACCAAAACTTCATTGGAAC